TAAGGGATTGTAAACTGACAAGGTCCTTGCAATCTGTGAGGTCAACCAAGGGTTGCCTTGCCTAAAAAAAAAAAAAAAAAATTTACCCATACTAGGAAAGAAAAACTGGAAAACAAAGTCTTTACTGTACACAAAATAAACCCAACCATTCATTCCCTCCGGCCAGACCACGGGAACCTACAGAACAAAGGCTGAGATTGCTGATACACTTTTGAGATTGCATACTGATATTGTTCACGCTGTATACCCACACCATCAAAGGAACATAGGGAAATAGTCGTTAAACTGTAATTCATAGAAACTAAGAATCACATATAAACTAAATTCTTCAAATACTCGGAAGTCTCTCTCATTCTCCGTCTTTGAGAGGAGACGTCTCTGAAGTGTTATTCCTTCTCTAAAAACTCTCATTTTGTCTCCGTGGCGTGCGCTTGGATTCTTTCTTGCGCACAGTCAAGGACCCTCTCTCAGGTGTAGAATTGAGTCCCACTTGAGGAGGGTGCGGGGATTTACCTTGTTCTGCATCAATTGGTTTGCAGAATTCTTCTTGGCCTTGTACCCATGTCTAGCCTGACCACTTCCTCAGGTGAGGGCTATTCCAGAACCTATACATAATACCTGCCTTTCCCACTCTTTTTTTCTTTTTTTTTTTTAAATTAAGAAGAACATCTTATTACTTGGTACTACAGTCAGTCATATACAGGGCTGGGCTGGCCAGGGGGGCCCCACAGTTTCCTAGTTTTCTGTAGTGTCTCTAGTCTAGATGTAAAGCACAGAGGTGTTTCTGGCCACCCTAAATTGGCCACATTGCCTGGCCCGCTTCCATGTCTGGAGTGTACTTTCCCTTCTAATAAACTTTTTTTTTTTTTTTTTACTGTATTTTGGTGTCTTGCTCAATTCTTTGTTCAAGACATCAAGAACCTGGACAATGCACTGGGAGAGGATTCCCACTCTTTGGTAACAGTAGGACACACATGGCAGGCCAATTCTTGCTAGGCAACTCAGGAACAGTGGGACACGGGGTATTTAGCTAACAGGCCTCTGCCTGAAACTCTCCTATTTACTACACTTAATTCAAATTAGGTTAAGGCAAACATCCTAAGATCTCCTTTCTGAAGCAGGTTTTTCTATTGAATTTCTTGGGCAGGAAAGCAGGGAAGGTCAAAGGTTCTTAGTCTTTTGTTTCTTAGTAACCAGCTTCAATCAATATCCCAAAAGGCAGCTTTGGGGTGGCAAAACTTTGGTCCCCTTCACTTACTTGGCTAGGCTGGAGCTGTGCCAGGGGCTGTTCTGAGACAGAGGAGCAGCCCACTTGTAAAAGCCAAGTGCCTTATATACTTTATAACCCTATCAGTCGAGTACTGCAAGAACCATTTTATAGATGAAGAAATAGAGACACAGATTAAGTAAATCGTTCAAGGTTGCACAGCTAGCAGTTGGGATTTGAACCCAAACAGCCTATGTCCTAGTCTGTGCTCTAACAGCTCTGCTATAGCATGTCTCTACTGCCGTTGAGGTTACAATCAATCCTGGGAAGACATATTGGAACATTTTTTCTCTATTCCTTATATCTGTGGGTCTAAATGTTCTTGGGTGACAAGGATCTGATTGTACATGTAAAACTCCAAGGAATTTTTCTTTTCAGGCCAGGCATGTAGCCTGTTCTTATGGGTAACTAATTGCCAGAAATCGCACACTAATGAACAGGACCAATTCACAAAAATTTGCAGAGGACCACAAATGGAGATGAGCCCCACTGTCAAGCTCCATTTTAAAGGGCATGAATGTGCACACAGGTTTCCCTTTGCCAGGAAAATCTCAGGTTGTAGGTTATAAAAATAATTTTAAGTGCACAGAAAGCGTCTGGAAGAAAATGAATGCACTGAGCATTACCCCGAGAGAGAGAGATTTGGGGGTAAGGGTATAGAAACATTTTCTATTTTATATACTTCAGCAGTACTCAAACTTAAAAAAATACTTTTATCAATGATCTTATATTTGTCATTCTCTTTGCACTGTTCTGTTGTTCACCAGACATTTGGCTACTAGAACCAGAATACATTTCAGCCATAAAGGCCTTTGAATTCTAATACCTGGTGAACCTGAACTTGACATCTGATAGGAGGGCAAGTCCAGTGATGGGAGGATAAGTCTAGACATTTCTGTGATTATAACTAGCATTTAGTTGAATCTTGTTTTTAATCCCACCTGGCAATGTCTTTTAGACTGTTCAGTGTTTACATTTAATGTAATTGCTAGTAAGTTGGGTTTAAGTCAACCATCTTGCTATTTATTTCTATGTATTCAGGTAAGTAAAATTTAAGCCAGAATTTTTCTTATACTTCAGCTTCATCCTGCTCCTGGTATCAGCCATCCCAACAAACACAGCAGGTTCAGGTGCCAGAGAAGGTACCATTTTTCATGCTGTATTGTTGGGTGGGAAGAGCTGGATCTCTGGCTCCACCTCAACAGGTGCAATTGCACATTTGTCACATTAGGGATTCTGTGAAAGTGTGAAAACAAGGTTCTGTGGCTACAAAGTTTGAATTCCAAAGTGTTTTCTGTGACTTTAATTCACACTCGAGCAAGGATATGGACAACAAACTAAGGCTGATCACCCCTTAAACAGGTTCTAGGACATGCTCCAGCTCTGGACAACTTAAGAGCTGAAAATAAGATTCCCTTGGCCTCAGAAACTGGGCGAACAGCTGAGTCTTGAAGAAGCTAAACTGGGAAAGGGCAGAGGTAATGGACTGAAGAATCCCACATTAGTCTTGACACTGGAGACAGAAATCTAAGTTTAAAAATGGGCAGCTTTCCATTCCACAGCCACTGTTGGCTCCAGAAGGTATATGCACCAACAGGAAATCACTTTCTGGATTAAACCCTTAGCCTGGATAGTGGGTTACCTTCCTAGGTACAGATGTTAAAGCACTCTTTTGTTTTGCAGACTGTAGTGGTTATAAGGTATCCTACTCATTTTGCAATATATAAAGCAGACTATCACCACTGACTTTTTGCTTCTTTCTAGGAGAAATGCATTTTCCTAAGGCAAGACATGGTTTTATTATATAATTACACTTTGCAGCTTTCTGGGCTGATGGGATCCACTAGGCAGACTGACCCTATAATGTGTGTGATTTGCCATAACAGCAGCACAGGATAAAATCAGAGGCAGGAATGACTGACAGGGAAGTCAAAAGAGAAACTAGGCAATGGAAGCCAGGACTGGGGGAATAACTGCTTTCAACTGCACAAGCATTTTATCCTTAAGTGACTGCAGTTTAGGGTAAATTTCAGCTCTGCCACTTACTGGCTGTGTGAATTTGGTAACTTAATATCTAAACCATTTCTAATCTGTAAAATAATCTGTAGTACCTACTAGATTCACTGGTTGTTGTGAGAATGAAGTGAGAGAGAGAGCAGAAAAGTACTTGGCACTGTGCTGGTTTACAGTAGTCCTCAATCACCAGCAGTCGCTATCGTTTTCCATAATGGAAAGGTGGGGCCATAGTAGGCCTAAACAGCTGCCAAAATTCATTTTTAAAGGATTCTAAGAGTGCTATATTTCAAATGCAAGGTAGACATGAAATTGAGAGCTCTGCTGAAATCTCCCACAAGTCCTACATTCCCTGAGACTTGGTCACATACCTTAGGAATGTCTTTACTCAGTCCCCTCCTTATTTATCAGAACGCCACTTTAATTTGGACCTAGTTTCCTGTCTGGTTTATTCCAAAAGCCTTCTGGGTTTTGGCCTCCCTAACTGCTAGACTTTTTATATAAAAACAAAACAAAAATAATAAAAAAAATCTTCAGAAAAACCATTTATTTGCTCAAAATTTTCTCTGAGGTGCCCCATGCCTAATGGGTAAGGTCTAAATTTCTTACCTTGGCATACAAAGCCATTCACCTGAATTAAATTGATTTTCCCAGCCTCTTTTATCTCCCAACCCTCCACCTAACCAACACAGTTTCCCTAACACACTGGGCTCTTTCAAAGCCTTTATAACTTCATCATGCTTTTCCCTATCCAACCTTCAAGGCTTAACTAAAATGTTACCTCTTTAGTGAAGCCTACTCAGTTCCAAAAAGGCTTCTTTGGGTTCCATTATTTTTATCACTTAATCTTTAACAGAGCACTCAACAGAGCAATTCTTTACATTTGCCTTTCCCAGAAGACATACTCTTCTATTTCAAACGTTTTTCTATCTGCTCCATTGCTATTCCTAGAGTAGTTGTGATAAAACAGCTGAAAAGCACTTTGTAAAACTGTAAATTGTAAGAGATTACACTATTATTATACTGATCTGAAAGAGAAATGAGGACTGAAGCAGAAAGTGATGTTGCTGCTTTCTTTATACCAGTTCAAAGTCTGAACAAGTCCTGAACTGTTATAGCTATTAAATGAATGATAACCAGCTTGTAAAATGGCTTTAAAAAAGAATGAGTAGCCCTCGAGCAGCCCACCCAAGTAATATCACACGTAAGGAGAAATCACAGGATGTATTACAGTTAAAAAGAGTATCTATAAAAAGTTTTACTTTTTCTGTAACTTTTAATACATCTAAAGTCTTAAACAGTCAGCTGATCCTATTAGGAACAAAATATGGCATGGATTCCAGAAACAAGAACATATCTATTTTTTTTTTTTTGCATTTAGGCTTTTCAGTCATCATGCAATGATTATCGATTCGCCAAGGGCAGTAAGTCAGATACTGGAGAAAAGGAGATATGAGAAACATCTTTATTTTTTTCTAAAGAGGTGAAAATAAGTAAGATTTCTTATATTTCTTGCTCATAAGATTTTTAAACTCTTAAAAATGCAATTTCCTTTTTTCGAAGCACATGCCATTAAAAAAAAATCTCAGCAATGTACATTTGCACTCAAAGAAAAACATGCAGTGCCATTGTCTTCTGACAAAATTCTGCATAAAAACCTCACGCAACTTTCTGCAAATATGTTCCCTCTTTATCATTTAGGGACTCCAAACCACAAACATTCAGTGCAATATTTATTGTTTCTTATTTCCGTAGGAAACACAGGACCAATGTCTTCTGAGTACAACTGTTTCCTGATGGTTGAGCAACAGTCTCTCTCTGCTTTATTTTAAAGTACTCTAACTTGCTGATATAAGGGACAACTAGAATTCAGTAAAACTTGAGGATCAAGTGGAGGATGGAGGAGAAATACTTAAGGTGTACCCTGTGCCATAAACTTAGAGAAAAAATTTACACAGAAAAACAACAAAACACCTCAGATTTTTTCAATGCACCCTTTTAAAAAGTTTTTTTTTTTTTAATTTCTGAAAGCAGCTTAATGTGAATCAAAAGCAGTTCCTGAGTAACTGCAGTAAACAGTGTCTTTTTAAAATATATTTATATATATATATATATTTGCAACTTAGCTCATTTTGGTTCTGCCTTAATTTACCTCCCCAGCATTTAATCAGTTCCTTTCCTTTCAGTTCACAATGTGCAAGTACGACAGCATCAGCTCCAAGAGTTGGCGTGGTGCAGATATTTCTTGTCACTTCTGTGTGATCATCTGCATGTCTGTCAGGCCAGGTTTCCAGAGTCACTGCAGGTAACAGTTCTCTTAATCTCACAAAACCTGTGAGAGCCAGACACTTCACGTCTTCTTCATCAGACGCCGTGACTGCCATGTATGGAGTTTGTTGTAGGCTGTCTGAAGCATCTCTTCTATGTGACTTACCAACTGAAAAACACAGCAAGACACTTAAAGAACAACTGACGAAGTGAATGCTTCTGATCCCGATCTGGCATATACTTCAGAGTGTAGTTTCCAAGCTCACTTGTATTTCCCCAATAGGGCAATGTGTAAGCCCTCTGTGAAGGTGTTATCAGACACATTTTGTACAGAAAGTAGAAGAGATGGTAGGGTATAGTAGAGGCTGGAAATTTACCTGCTCTGTCTGGGTTGTAATGTCTGCCCTGTCATTAACCAGTTATAGGACAACATGAAAGTTGTAATTGTGCTCTAGGCTTTTCCTTCTGTCAGATGAGGGAGGTAAACTAAACTGGTGATTTCTAGATTTAAATATTAGTCTTGACTATGGCCAGGGTGGTAGCATCAACATTATCTTACAGAACATCTGAAAAATACCTAACCTCCTGAAAATTCTGATACAGCAGGTCTGGGCTGAGACACAGGAATTTAGATTTTTCAAAAGCTCCTGCAGTGCATTCTGCTGCTTAACCAATATTGTGAAGCATTTTTCTATGTTCTCTAGGGTCTTTTCCAGCTATAACATTTCAGGATTTCAATATAACTTAGTAGACTGCAGAAAATCTAAATGGTTTCAATGCTTAATACAAGTACTATGCCATTCCTTAGGTCAGGAATATAAACATACACACACATAATTTTTTTTGATGCCTGTGGCACGTGCACAAAAATATGGAACGCTTCACAAATTTGCGTGTCATCCTTGTGCAGGGACCATGCTAATCTCTGTATTGTTCCAATTTTAGTGTATGTACTGTTGAAATGAGCACAGAACTATATATCTTGAGTAGAAAAGATTTTGACCTCATCATGGACATAACTAGAAGTCAAAAGGACCACACTGGTCATTAAGCAGAGAAAGACTCCAGAGGTATAAAATGTCTTTGGAATATGTTTCCTTAGAGGTGGACAGTGCTTATGTGGTTGGAAGTAAAATTCTTGTAAAGTCTACAAGTCAATTTTGGCAGTATGGGGATGGTGATCATAAAATGATCTTGTGTGGTTGCTCTAGCCTTGTATTAAAAACAAACCTAAAAGTCCTGGGCACAAAGTGACACTTTCCACTCACTACCTCACCCACTGCCCCACCCTTCTGTAAACAATCAGGGAAGCTTCAGGCAGACTATAACCTAGGAATTGTTCACAGAGTGGCAATTTCTGCTTTTCTTTGCATTGCTAGGTTTGTGCTTGCTACCTAGGTTTTCAAAATAAGTGTTTTTAGGAACATACACATAGACTATGAATCTATAAAGAAAAGCATGAAGATGATTATGAATGCCTGGGTTAGTCATGGCCTTGGAGAGGGAGGAATAGGCAACTGGACGGGGCACTCAGAGAATGGCTATAGGTACTGGTAATGTTCTATTTCTTACTGCAATTGGTGGGTACAGAGGTATTTGCTTTATTTTAAAAAGCAAATATGTATTTTATACACTCTTCTGAAGGTATTCTACTTTTTATCATTAAAAAAATAGTACTCTGAGGTGTACATCTAAAACTAATATAATACTTTAAGTTAACTATATTTTAATAAAAAGCTTAAAAAAAGATCTTCCTAGATATCAATGAGAATCAAAACCTTGCTTATAGTTTTACACTCTGGATGCCTAGAAGACTTTTCTACAGACTGGTTTCTGGGTTCATTTATTTCAAATCTTATTTTCTCTCTACCCATGTTCTTTTTGTGCCAGGACTGTGGAACACATTCATACCACTTACACACTCTGGCCCTGCACCCTAATGTCACAATATTAGATGAGATGACAAGATAAGCAATACAAGCATTCCTTAAAGCCATTTCTACACCAAGGTGATTAGTAATAGCTTAACTATACATGGAAGTGATTGAAAAACACATAGATTAACCCACTAAGCCCAAATAACATGTATACTCCACCTGACTTCCTCTACCCCAAATCCCAAATGTCTGCTGCTAGCCTTATGTATGCTATGTAACACAAGGGAAAGTGAGATGCAAGGAAGTCAGAGTAGAGAGAATGTACCCCTACCAGAGTACACTTAATTGCATATTTCACAAAAACATATGACCATGTGAACACATGGCCAGGGCTTTGGAACAGGCCCAGCAAGTGAGATTCTGAAGCCCAGCTTCATTAACGTCACAGAAAATCCATTTCTAATCACTGTACTTACCAGACTGCATATTTATGTGTGTCTGTTTCACACTCCACACCCTAAATTTCTTAAAAATAGGATTATGTCCTATTCATCTTTGCATCTCCAGTTTTTTTTTTTTAAAAAAACAAAACAAAAAAGTCCTGAGCAACAGGAAAAAAAAACAATATACCTACTTGTTTACTCCAAAATAAATTAATTTCATCATTTACTACATAGGAAATCAGGCCAAAATCAGATTGTTGCCTTACGTTTGTGCTTAAATACTGTCTTCGAATTTTTTCTTGGAATGGGCAGAGCTTTGTAACTTGGAATCGTTCCAAATTACTCTTCATTTTCACTACCTAAAAAAGGTAAGAGAAATAGTGAATTTCAGAGAAATCTCAAAGAACCTATAGAAAGCACAAGAAAAATACACAGAGGAAGGTTACTTTTTTTGAGATTAACTGGCTTCACCGTGCAGAAAAACGATACCTAACATAGATTTTTTAAAATTAAAAAAACTATCCCAAAAGTAATAAATGACTGCTGTAGAAAAATTTTAAAAAAGCAAACAGTAGAAAATAAAAATATACTTATTCTATTCTACCATTCATAGATCATTAATTAAACACTTTGGTTCGTAATTCATATCCTCGACATTTTTTGTGCATGCGTATAAATGTACATATATAGAAAATATATAGTACAGATTTAAAATTTCACTTGGTTTAATGTAAACATCTTTCAGTCATTAAATACTCATCCAAGTCATCATTTAAATTGATGTATAGTATTTTAATGTATGAGCATACCAAATGCTTCCTTAACCAATCCCCTTCTGGTAGATATTTAGGCCATTTCCACATTTTCTTTCATAGACAGTGGTAGAGGAACATCTCTATGGTCTCTATGGCTAAATATTTATACACATTCTTAATTATTTCCTTAGGTTAAGTTTCTAAATATTGAATTTCTGGTCAAAGCATTTTTAAAAAGGTAAGTACTAGCAGGAGAAGAAAGGGCTATTCCCTTAGCAACTTAGCCAACAGTGATTATTTTAAGGATTTTCTTCTTTTCCAGATTAAAGATGAAAAATATTCTTTCACTGTAGCTTTAAAGATCATTTATTTGAATACTAGTGAGTATGAAAATTTCTGTTTAGGTTTATTGGGCCATTTGCATTTTTTAGTGAACTGTTAAGATTCTTTTGCCTATTATTTTTAATGGGGCATTTATCTTTCTCTTAAAAACTGTTTATGAGAGCAATCTGTATAGTAAAGCTATTACTATTAATACTATAAATATTTTTCTATTTGTCAACTGTCCTTTAATTGGTTAGAAGAGTTTTAGTGTTAAATAGCTAGTGCTATATTTGTTGTCAATCTCAGTTTAGATTTCATCGCCTCTAAAAAACGTACCAAGTAAATAATTTTACTGATGTGACTTGTTTTGGGTCTCTGTTCTTTAGTCACTTTTAGTGGCTCAGAGGTAAATACAAGTTTTAAGATGTATGATCGAAAGTGGTGGAACTGGTCTGAATCTTAAGTTTCTTCAACTATAAAATTGGTATCAACACCTATTCCATCAAGATGCTAACAGGCTTAAATGAAATAATGTATTCAAAGTAGTTACCCAAGTAGTTACCTGGCACATGGTAAACACTTTCCAAATTCAAAATACTACCTTATTAATTCACACTACCACAATAGCTGGCTACGTCTGGAACTGGTTCTGACCTTTTCTTCTAGGAATGGTGTATTAACAGGAAAGCAGGACCAGAAGTGCCGCAGTAGTTCCCCAACAGCCACATACAGGTGTTTCAATTCAGACTGAATATCATTTGGCACCATTTCTGCAAAACAAAGGTACATAGGATAAAAGCTATTTTCATATACGTATAGTCTCTGAAAGAATGACCAGAGAATAAATCTGAATGTGCACACTTTCCAAATGCCAGAGCAGGATGTACTATTCTGAATCAAATTACTGATTTTGTGGCTGACATCACAGAATTTAAATTCTCTTTGGATTTTGAGAAAACTTTTAGGTTCCCCTTTATTCTAAGAGATAGAAAAGGAAAAAAAGAAAGCTTTTATAATGATATAGAGACTACTAATATGCCACTGTTTGTAATATTAAGACAATTCTGAAATCTAAGTTATCATCGAGATATGTTTCAGGATCTGGATGCATAAAAACTAAACAAAAATCCCAGAGATGTTCCAAAGAAAAACAAATAAACTTTAGCCCTCCCCTCAACTTGCTTTTTAGAGCTTATTTCAGTAAAAGGACAGCCACAGAAGGTGTCCCAACACATACGGTTTATGGCTTGCTGTGTCCCTCCCTGCATAAGTGCTCCTCCAGGTGACAGTGCTGTGATGGTACTACTGGCAGCACTACTTGAGAGAACCTGAAAGAAAACAGAGAGAAAAGTTTTCCTTTTTTTTTTTTTTTGCCATCTTTCTTACTTAACATTTCAGTTTTATGGCAAAATGTCCAGTAAGTCTTTATTTCTGTAAAAATACATACTTTATAGCAACCAGAGTGGATTACTTTCCATGAGGCCAGAGAATACCTACCAATCTTCCAGGAATACTAGGAAAGTCCACAGGTACCTCAAAACTCACAAGCTTTAAGCCTTTTCTTAAGCACAAATTCAACTTTAACTTGAACTTACTATTGAAGGAAAAACTGAGTTTAAGAAAACATGTCAAGTAAAATAATATGTTAACATATATCCTTTCTGGCAGCTAGGGGGAAAAACCCAACACAGCAGAAATGCATCCTTTGTCATTTTTCAATGAACTGAATATACTTAGTGAAAAGGAGAAAAATGTATTCCTTACTGTGTCAGTATCAACATTTTGACCAATTTATTCAATGAGTGTCTAATAAGCACTGTGGCTATAGAGAGGAACAAATCATTTGTCGAACAGTTCAAGTGCAGGGTTAGTGTGTCTAAAGGTTTTCAATGGAGTTTTCACAAGTATAAATCCATTAGTGTATGGGCTGGATAAAAAAATAAATTAAGCTTGGCATACAGCAGAGCACATGACAACCACAAGTTAAGGGGACATGAGAGTTCACTTTACTCCTATTTCCTTTTGTCAGAAATTTTATAATACATTGTAACCAGAAGCTTCTGTGACTACTGAGCTTTTTGACTAGCCACTGGCTATACTTAAGTATACATACCTGAGAACACATCATCTCTTGGGCCTTCCTGACTCAATTCATGTGTCTCAGATAATGAAATCACTTTTGGGGGATATACGGTGAGAAGAAGGTAGATGTGGGAAAGAATGTTAATATTTAAGACTGATCACAGCTTAAAAAAGTTAGGTGGGTCTACTTGGGCAATTAGAGCCTAAAAGGAAAGTAGTCAAATAAGCCCAAATTTGTTATGTGTACATATATATATTTCCTAGCTGTCTGCTGAGGAGACAATAACACCAGTAGCAAATGACATCCCAACAGCAATGAGTAAACTCAGTACTGAAATCTTGGTTTCTAAATCTACCCAGTACTAAAAGGAAGATTCTATGCCTGGGGCAGGGAAAGTATAAGATGAACCTGGAACATCTATCTCACTGTGCCATAAAGTAAGAAAGTGCTCAAGTACTGGTAAGGACACTATCAGAAAGAAGCCAGTGCGAAGGGCTTGGGAAGGGTCTGACTACTGAGAAACCTAGGTACATTTTTTTGGAGGTGTCAAAAAAATTTTTTTTTTAAATCTTGTGTTAGTTACACAACTGTATATATTTATTCAAACTCACAGAATAGACTAAAAAAGATAAATTTTACTGAATGCAAATTATACCTTAGTTTAAAAAATATATATATGAACAACCCATAACCCATAGAATAATGTAAGAATCCATGGATCCGTGCAGATATAAACAAACACAGGAGAAGGGAAGCAAGCTCTTCTTTTTAACACAATGTTAGCTGATAAATGTAGAGTGGATGATGGAATTGGAAAATCAACATTTAACTACTAGCATGGTAATAATTGCTTTTGGAAAGAATCATCAAGGATTCCAAAAAACTAATGAGTAAAAAGTTTGATGGGAAAGAGAATAGTCTTAAAGTATCTCCCCACAAGATACTTATTACAAAGAAAAAAATAGTAATTTTTTGGTAGAGAAACCGAGCAGATACTACCTTAACCAAGTGATCATAAGTATGTGCTTTCTGATATAATGCACTGAGGATAACACATCATTTAGATATCACTTAGGTGGTGTTCCTGCTCAAAATGCATAATGTCACTACAATCTTAAGGAAACATTAGAGATACTCAAATTAAGGGCAGTCTACAAAAAAACTGGCTACTACCCTTCAAGTATCAAGGTCGTTAAGGCAAACAAAGATTGAAAATGATTCCATTTTAAAGGAGACTACAGAGATATGAGAACTAAATGCAACTTATGAACCTGACTTGGATGCTGGATCAGGAAAAGTTTTCTTTTGCTATAAGGGACATTAGTGGTACAACTAGTGAAATTTTTGTAAGACCTTTAGGTTAGATAATACTTTTATTAATGCTAATTTATTGTTTATATAACTTTATTGTGTTATGTATGAGAATCTCTTGTTTTTGGAAACACATATTTGGGGTAAAGGGATCTACTCACAAAATGGGTCAGAAAACATTTTTACAACTTTCTGTAAATCTGAGATTACTTCAAAATAAAAGGTAAATATAAGTCACAACACGTGATAAGCACAGGTATAAACTCAGTGCCCTGGTATTTATAAAAACGGAAAAGGAAAAAACTTGTTACTGTAGATGTTGTGGATTGCTTTTATGGAGGCAATAAAATCTGAGATGAGTTTTGAATAATTATTATTAGCTCTGCAGGGGCACAACAGGGTAAGGGCATTCTAAGAGAAAGCACTAGCAAAAGCAAGGAAACACGAAGATAACATGATTAAACAACCTTGGGTACTTTAGTGTGTTAGGATGGAATACAGGACTCTTGGTTACGCGTGGTAGGGAATGGAGTTGGGACTGGAGATGTGGACAGGGTGAAATTATAAAGGGTCTGGCATGCTAGACAAGGACATTCAGATAATTACAATGGAAACAAAGGAGGGCAGTGAAGGTTTTTAAGCTGCAGAGTGATAAGATCAGATTTATGTTTTTAGTAAGATAACCTGCAGTGGCAGTGTGCCAAACTGATGAGGTTTGCCTAAACCAAGGTAAATGGAGTCAAGAAATACTAAAGAATTGACAGAACTTGCTAATCAACCGATGTATGAATAAGGGTGGGAAAAAATGAATAAGCTGTTTTATATGTTCTGAGTTGGAGGCCATGCAAAATGATGTCCAGAATTTTTTTGGAGATTTTACCAATAAATCTGTGTAAACAGGAGGAAAAATTTAGCAGTCACAAAACTCATCTTAGTTTTCATTATCATCTTATCTTCAGACACTTCTTGAATATGCCAAATATCTTTTCTCCCTACCTTGATATTCTGTTTAGCAGAAATATGTCTTTAAACACAACTAAAATATTAGTTATAGTTCAATTTGGTTGTCCTCATCAAATGAAGAAGTATCTATGGGAATTCTGGTTTTCTTTCTTTTTTTTTTCTCCCTCTTTAATTCCCCCTTCCCACTTCCACCCCTGACCTATGGATGTTGCCTTTTCCCCTTAAGAACTGGATCTCTGAAGGTGGGGTGTCTCTTCCCACAGGCTCACGGAGTGCACCTGGGGCCTGGTGCCCCTGGGGTATGGTCAGTGGCTCCACCTGGGGTACGAACCCAGGACCTTCTGTGTGTGAAGCAGACGTGCTAACCCCTACACTATGGAGCCACCTCCGGAATTCTGGTTTTCCAACTGCATAAGTTACCTACCTGAGTTAATTTGGGTGTATAAGCTTCCATTTCTTGTCTAATACTTTGAAAAGAATTAATAATGTCCTGACTTGTTGCATACTGTAGTGACTGGATTGGAGTTGGACCATGATAATACCTAAAGGTTAGCAAAGAAGAAACTATTATTTGTAACATCATCGTTTGTCTTTCAAATATTTTAGCAATTCTCAATACATTTTCCCCAAAGCAAAAAGTAATTATAATATGAAGAGATTTTGATAAAATAGTTCATATAAGGATGAGAAGAAAACAGCACAGAGAACCAATATTTATTTCCTTGGCTCTGATCCTTTAGGATCCTTTCCTGAGATGCACGAAGTAAATTTTTAAGGCAAAAGGACACTGTACTTTTATGGTAACAAACTAAAACTTGAATGCCATAATTGCAGAATAAATTCTAGTATGACCTTTGTTATATAACTATTCTGCCCCAAGTTAATTTAATATTGACCAAACTTACCTATCTGACTTCTTGAGATTTAGTGCAATTGTTTTTATGGAATTATTTTTTCCCAAATCTTCATATTCAATTGACTCTTGTAACTTCGCCTATAATTATTAACAAAGAACCTTTTATCATAACTTTCTCTTATAAAAGTAATAAACATGACTAAAAAAATAAAATTGTAGAGAATAAATTGAAGTCTTCC